CTGTTATTAATGGTGTGCCTATTTTTGCCCAAGCATGCCTTGCTTAAAGTAATTTCTTTCCATTCTTTCCATTTCTGTTTAAATATCTGTTTGTATATATATATATATATATATATATATATATATATATATATATATTTATAATTATAGCTAGGTATGTATTTTGCCCAAGTACATAATTACACGGTTATTTAAATATAAATTCTCCAGATTACTTAATGAATGAGGTTTTCATTTGTCATCTAGTATTTTAAAGAGAAAAAACCTTTACGTGTAATTCGTGTTTTTTTTTAATTATTGTTCTAGCGAATACGAGGATTCCCACATAAAGAAAGATTGCACAATCTTCGTCGTCATCTTCTGCTTCTCCTCTCTTTCTTCACCTCCTCATCCTTCTTCTTCTCTTTTTCTTGTATATTCCTTCGGCTTATGTATACCAAGCGATGCAAACTGAAAAAAAGATTAAGAAAATAATGTTACACAATGTTATAGCCAATCATTCATGAGCCAATTAATCCAAGCTTGTTTTTTTTATCCAACAGACTCTGCAAACTTAAAAGTAAAACAAAGAATTAAAAAACACAATCATTCCGGCTGTCATGTTTTCTTTCACCCTCTGTATAGGCGAAATATGAAGGTTGTTTTGAAAACAGACAAACAAAAGATTAAAGGGATAGTTGAGGTTTTGGTATATAGAGAGTACAGTTTTTTTGGTCAAACTGAATATTAGTAACCAAAACCTGCACCATTACATTGCAAACTAATAGTTATAACTGCACCATGCTCGGAAGTTATACAACAATTACGAACGACTTAGTAATTGGCCTAAGCCTGAATGTTAACAATTGAAAAGAGCCGTTGAACAACATGAGGGCATTCTTTAAAAAGTAATTGGTTTCAACCATTTTTGATAATAAAGTTGTGCATGTTTTTTTAATTTAAATAGTGATTAAATAGAGAGATCATCAACAACTATTTAAAAACATGTGTTTTAAAAGTGTAAGCATTTTTATGCCTCCGCCACCGAAGGTGGTGCCGGAGGCATCATGTTTTCGGGTTGTCCGTCCGTACGTCCGTCCGTACGTCCGTCCGTCCGTACGTCCGTCCGTCCGTCCCGTTTGACCGTTATCACAATATCTCAAGAACCATTTAAGATTTAAACTTAAGACTCGGGAATAGTATTTATCACCATAGGAAGATGATCTGATTAGATTTTGGAGTACGTAGGTCAAAGGTCACAGGTCACAGAGGTCAACTTATGAAATTCCTTGTATTGAGTTTGTTAGCGCGATATCTCAAGAACCATTTGAGATTTAAACTTCAAACTTAAGGATAGTATGTATCACCATAGGAAGACGATCTGATTAGATTTTGGAGCACGTATGTCAAAGGTCAAGGGTCACAGAGGTCAACTTATGAAATTCCATACATTGAGATTGTTATCATGATATCTCAAGAACCACTGGAGATTTAAACTTCAAACTTAGTGATAGTGTGTATCACTATAGGAAAACAATCTGATTACATTTTGGGTCACGAGGTCAAAGGTCAAAGGTCACAGGGCTCATTATGTATGCAAAAACAGCTTGTGATCGCGTTATCTGAACAACCGATTGATGGATTCCTGCCAAACTTTGGTCATGTATGTATCTTGCAGAGCTGATGAACTGAGTAGATTTTGGGGTCACGAGGTCAAAGGTCAAAGGTCACAGGGCTCATTATGTATGCAAAAACAGCTTGTGATCGCGTTATCTGAAGAACCGATTGATGGATTCCTGCCAAACTTTGGTCATGTATGTATCTTGCAAAGCCAATGAACTGATTAGATTTTGGGGTCACGAGGTCAAAGGTCACAGCGCACATTGTGTATGCAAAAACAGCTCGTGATCGCCTTATCTCAAGAACCGATTGATGGATTCCTGCCAAACTTAGGTCATGTATGTTACTTGCAGAGCTGATGAACTGATTAGATTTTGGGGTCATGAGGTAAAGGTCAAGGTCATGCGGCTCATTATGTATGCAAAAATAGCTTGTGATCGTATTATCATTAGAACAGATTGATGGATTCCTGCCAAACTTAGATCATTTATGTATCTTGCAGAGCCAATGAATGGTTCATAAGATCAAAGGTCATGGGCTCATTATGTATGCAAAAATAGCTTGTGGACGCATTCTCATTAGAACTGACAGATGGATTACTATTTAACTCAGGAAATCTTGCAGAGCCAATGAACTGAGTAGATTTTAGGGTCATGAGGTCAAAGATCAAAGGGTCATATATGTATATGAGAAATTGCTTGTAATCACGATATTCTGAGAACATGTTAATGGATTACAATTGAACTTGAATTTGAAAAATTTCTTCCGTTTCGGTTTGTAAAATTGCTCTATGACGGAGGCATCATTTTCGACTGCGCGCAGTCGAATTCCATCTAGTTTGTCTTTCAACGGCTGGTTCAAAATTATCGAATATTAATTTTGTGGGGCCCCCCAAATTTTGAAATGGTTATATTTATGGATATTTCAGCTGTATCTGAACATATTTTGATCAAACAAAGATGATTTTGAGATTTAAATTGTATGCTCTTTCAAATTTGACACTCAGATTTTCATTAATATCTCAACAGCAACAAAATATGTTGTGTAGCGCCCTCTGCTCTATACCAAAACTGAACTATCCCTTTAATATAGACATACGGTTGCACAAAATTAATGCTATGAAAATAATCACATCGCTGTCATGGTAGCGTATTATTTATTCAAATTAAAAGCAAAATACGTCATATCTGTACTCCACTCCCACCACGTCCCATTATGAGTCAGTATAAGTCAAATTTGTCTTTCTTTTCCTTTTAAAAAATCATGTTTTAGCTGTCGAGGCCCTTGTATGTGGTATTTTTTTCTTGTAGAAATCCTCAATACTCTGAAATAGAGAGGGAATGGAACTCATTAGCATTCTTTTAACGTCACGTTTAACCTGTTTCTTCATCATATTTCATAATTTAATTGATGTAAAAAAAAGGAAAAATAAATTAAAGGTTGAGGTATAAAGTACAGAGAAAGAAGTTTCAAAGTTCTAGCATTAAACAGTTTGTTGTTTTATGGGGCTCTCTACAACTCCTGGCTTCAATAGCCGTTTCTTTTTAAAGGGATGAATTTTGATATACTTATTGATTTGTCATAACTACCGACTCTTGCTCGGCCCCCCCCCCCCCAAAAAAAAAAATCACCTCTGAACATGCACGTCACGCTATAGCTATATTTATTATGTTATCCTTATAGGCGTGAGATGAAGGTTTATGATCGAAAACAGACTAACGAAAAATTAAAAGAGATGCATGGTTACAAAATGTAATTTTAACAATCGTATAGTCGAGGGCCATAATAATTATGTATAATTTTATTATTTGAAAATTCAGTTTTGAATTTCGAAGAACAAATAATCCGTCGTCATGTTTCTCACCTCATCTCCCCCCCCCCCCCCCCCCCCTTTTTGTTCTTCTTTATGAAATAATAAAATTGGAACTTTGAATAAAAAGAAAATTAACATTAACAACTGAACGGCCAGAGTAACCTCTTGCCCCAAAATATTTTATGGCTGAACTACGATCGTGTTGTTGCCATGACTGGCTTATTCTGACCAGATACTCTGTTACCAAACTAAAACTAATCTTCCAGATGCATCAATTCTTAAGAAGAAATGTCAATAATAGGCCATTTTCGTAATGTAACCAAATTTAATGCATAAGTCTTTGTAAAGTGCCTCAATACAAATTATTTTATTCACCTGATAAGAATAATAGTATTTCAATAGACAGAATCCGAACTGCATACATTAGTTGTTGCCAGGTTGGACAAACATTATGGCTTGACCTACTAGCAACACTTAATATATGCAGTTGCATTCTGACTATTGAAATACTATTATTCCTATCAGGTGATTGAAATAATTTGTATTGAGGTACTTCACAAAGACGTATGCATTAAATTTGGTTACATTACGAAACTGGCCTATTGTTGCCTCCAGTACAAATAGTTCTCTCATACAAGACCGTTATGTGGACGTGATGTTGATCACGGTATTTCGCGCAACCCGCAAGGCTATTGTTTGACAAGGAGATCGCTATTGATATGCAAATTTTACCAGTCATGACATGATTTTGAATTTCCATATCTCTGCATGCCTATCCAATGTCTAAGCTACGTGAGCAGCTGGTCGTACGATGGATGACTCATCGTAGGGTAAATCCCACCTTTCGACATATTCGAGGAAAAAAACAAATGAAGTTGGGTTGGACCAATAATTATTCAAATGTGAACTTGACGAAGACATGGACGTTACGTAATGAGATTTAAAAATAATAATTAAACTTTTTGAATGGCGCATAACACATGTCTCTATTCGCTTGTATTAAATTATAGTTAAATTATGAATCATTTGTTTTTTTACAAGATGTTCATATTTCCATGATCGATGAGCAGGAATCCTGCTTTGAAAATGATACGAATTATTTTCTCGCACATATCTGGCAACAGCTAATTATTCCCATCGTTTTTTTTTTAATGAGAAACAGTATCACGCACGGAAAGTTGATCTTATTAAAATCAGCTTGGGATTACCAGTTTACCTGCGACAAATACACAGTACATGTGTGTAATTAGAAATCCGTTTAGTTCCTTGAGAAAAAATACAGACGACGACCCTCAAAATAGCATGCTGTTTCCCTGCACATGTAGTTCCTTATGAATATTCACATGAACTTTAACCTGAGGCTCTTGCCACATGGTAGTTGTCCAATCAGGTACTGTTTCTATGAGAATATCTATTTACCTCGAAGTCCATTGTCCAATCAGAGACGACTGTATATTAACGGCAAACGCTCGTTGTAATATAGCTGTACGCTCCTTAGTGATTGGTCGAATATGAGAGGTGTGTCGACCCATGTGACCACAGCGAAATGAACGTACTGAATATTTATAACGGAGAGGCAGTGGAAGATTTCCAGCTGCTAATGATTGTCTGCACAAAGCAACACACGATCGCGGTTGCCGTGCCTTGTTCAAAAAACAGCTGGTTCACTTGCATTGCAATACGGACAGGAATAGCAGCCATCAGCTGATCGCTGAGCGGGGCTATCAAGATCGGATGCAAAAGCAAGCTGAATACTTGAATTTTCGTGTTTTAAGGTCTTATTTGTGCAAACGAGAATTGAGAAGGACAAGCTGATACCATTTATCAGAGAAGTACCGCAGTAACTTTATTTTTATTGCATTCCAATCGAGAATTGTGTTGACTTCAATTCAGGTTCAAGTGCAAGACTTATTCGTCCGTCGACCGTCGTTGACTTTGACCCCAAATCGGCCTGTCGGATTTGTGAAATTTGAGGGACAAGTTGTCAAGAAAGGAGCTTCCAAAGATTGCAACTAAAGTACTAAGCATAGCATAGTCACAGACATTTTTTGTATTTAGATAATAGGTGTACTTGTTTTTTGTAACAGTAACTGAAATAGAAGAGACAGCGAGACCTCCAAACGGCGGAGCTAGCTGAGCTGAGCTCAGTCTGAGTTGAGCTGAGCTGTAAAACACCTCCCTGGTTGGACTGTGTGTGGGTCTGACGTCTGTTGCTATTGACACTTGGCAAAGATGACTTGTTGTTTGGCATTTATATCTCATCCTCAAGGATTGACCTTGGGGAACCGTCCATTCTATTCAATATATGACACAGGTACAGTATTACATTTTACTATGTTATTGTTGTAATGCCACTGTTTTATCCAACCTTTCCCCCAATAAAAGTTTAAAACCAAACAATGAATTACCAGAAAAAATGTATTTATGTTTATTGTTCATTGTTGGTTGATCATTTTCTTGATACATTTTTAAATGTATAACAATTTGAATTCAAATTTCATTGCAAATTTTATTTGGAATTGAAATTTGATCAAGACTTGTATCCATTTTTCAAAATAGCACTTACCATTAGGAATATCTGTCCTTTATAATGTGGTCTAACAGTAACATAAGTCTTAGGAGATCTATAAAATATTGCTTGTAAACTATTTCAAATTGCTGTTTTAAATTAAGTAGCCTACATGTTCCTATCACACAACTTCTGGGTAGGCCTAGTATAGACTCTACATGACATGTACAAATCTCCCCTGCAGAATTTTTTCAGTAGATCTGGTAATAAACTTACAGGTAATATACATTCATGATTTATGTTTATAATACTAAATCCAACAGAGAAATTGGCAACTACGTTTCACACAAAATCTCTTTAAAAATGTTGAGTCCTATAGTACCCTCTCCTAATGTACTGTACCCTTTGTTGCTCTGTTGCCCCCCCCCCCCCCCCCTCCCCTCCCCCTCTCCTCTCCCACCCTGGAATTGTGTGAGCAAACACAGCTGCATGTCCAAACTTGTAAGTCCATCCCCTAATCTCCATATACATGTAGCTGTCATTAGTGTCAATGCAAAAGTGTTTGCTCTATATATAGATACTCTGTGTACAGAATTTGCATACAACTGTAATTAAGGCTTTAACTGTACATTTATGATTGGCATTGCATTTTACAGTGCTGCAGTGCTTCAATTTTGAATGTAGCACATCAATGTTGGGGAGTGTAATAGTCTATATGAGCCCTTTACACCTCTTTTAAGGGCCATCCGACCCTTTAATAAATTCATGTGTATGAAAGCAGACTTTGAAAAAATTCATAACTTTCTATTTTTTTTGGTCTGATTTCACTCAAACTTTCACCAGTCTACTTGAACTTCTCTGATTGTTCTGCTTTCCTCTAGAGTAGTTTGCTATCAAGGTTGGATTTCCCTTTAATATCAAAAAGAAATTTAAGAAAAAAGAAGCTGTTATTTTAAATCGTATTTATAAGTGAAAGTTTGTTCAATTTACAATTCACAAATGTTAAATTTAGTTTGTACATGAACATGTATAGGTTGTTATTTTTATTGCTTTCCAAAATTGGAAGGCATAAGACAAATTCCAAGTGCTGCTATAGACCTGTCAATCATTGTATGTCACAATTTATGGTGCTTATTCGATTTTGAATGACTTTGTCAATTATTTAAGTCAACAATTATAATTAACTTACTCCTACGTCCTGTTGAAGCTCGGGGGAAAAAAAGAAATGAACTTTGAACAGCATAATCACATCGTCATTGTAGATGAGAATAGTCTACTTGTTTGTCAAGGAATATGAGGTGACATCGTTAAGCTTGTATCAAATTCAGCTCCTGTTCTTTTTCTCCCCTTTTTTTTGTTGGCCTGATAAGACTTTATTGGGTGAACTTTTCATTGTTTCTCCAAGTTCGTGCTAAGAATGAACCTTGGAATTAAGCTACTTATATTGACATTGTTTTCTAGTGCATCTTGGTAGCGATGTTATCTGTCAGGTGGGAAGTATAAATGAGAGCCGCATTTGGCCCTCCATTGCAGTCCTTCATTCTCATATCCTGTGATGGACGGATTGTCAACGGCCAGGGAGGAGGGGGACAAAATCAATGTACATATCACCAAAATTAATTGTGTTGAGGAAATGCTGCTGTCTCCTTTTCTAGATTTTAATCAAAATGGTATGCTCCTTGCCGTAAATTTTGATAATTATTTGAAATGATGAGAGTACAGCATGATTTTACATGGATGTTATGAGATCGATTGAAGCCATTGCACTGTATAAAGAGAAATCAAACTGTAATTAAAAACAATTTTTTTTTTTCTTCTTCTTTATCTTGTCTTTATACAGCTGATGGTGACTATGAGAAGATCTGGAATGAACATTGCGAAGATGAAGTCTCTTTGGGAGAATATGCCTATGCCATGCAACATCTTGCACAAGAGCATTGGTCAGCCAAACATGCAGATGACAGGATAAAATGGTGCCACGATGCTTGCATAGAATACTTCTTTCAAGGTGGCATGAAAACTGTACTTGAGAAGGACAGAAGGAGAAGGGTACACCATGGACAGAGGAAGGAGGAATCGAGGTGGCCCTGCAATGGTTCTGCCTTGGTTAGGAACGTTAATGGCAATTCAAATGGCAACAATATATCATCATCATTACTCTCCTCATTGGAAGACTTTCACCAGCAGTATTTCGACTTGGCACATCCCTTAGGCAACAGGCATAATGCAATGTAAGTTGATATGCAATCATGTTCTGTCTGTGTCTGTGAATGATGTACATGTACACAACTTACAAGAGATAGCAATTTATGGCAAATGAAGGGCAATGTCTCTTACTTTGGCTCTTTTTCAAGGTTTTAATGCATGAATAAAAGATTCCAGATTAAAGCGTGATAACAAAATGTCAAGTCTGGAGAGTATTTAGTAGAGACTGGGGGAAACTTCAGAATTGTCCCATGTAGGGCTGAGTGAGTACTTTAATGTTGATATTTTTGTCTGGCCAGAACTGTAAAGACATCCTGGCAACCTTCAGCACAGGAAATGCTGTTAGCAAGCCCCTTCCCCTCTGTGCCGTGACATAGGGAGTGGATATGCCAGCAAAATAAGCTGCATTAAAAAAAAGGCAGGCTCATGCGACTGTCTTCAGTTCGCCAGCCATGCATAGCTTTTTCTCATATCCCCAGGTCAGCCCCCCTACAGGCAACTGAGAATCTAACATGTATAAGCCTACAGTTCTGTTGATTAATTTGATATTGTAACAAACACCAAAATAGGTGTTGGCTCAATTTTGCTTCTTGATTGATAGTTTGGTGTCATTGTAGGGACTTGAGTAGTTTATAAATAGAACTTCCTCATAATTGTAGGGTAGTTAAACCACATGTTAAACAATATATTTAGGTATATTTTTATTTTCATGTTCATTGTACATGTAAACTCTCAATTACTAAACTAAACAATATTCCTTATTTGTTTGGACAAGTGAAATGTGGGTCGTTTTCTTTGAGTGAAACTTTACAGGATAACGGATTGAAAAAGATACTCATTTTAAACCCTTACCCTCATTCCTCTTTAAATCTCCCTTTTCCCCCTTTATGAATTGTACTTTTAAACAATGTATTTTTAGCAGACAAGTCAGAGAACCTATAGTCTGGTTGTCAGGGTGTTAGAAACAGGAAGCTGTGCTAATTTGCATTGCGCAAGCTTAACCAAGTTTTACCTGGGTCATTATTTAATTTCCAGCCAGATCTTTTGTTGATTGATTATGTTATACATTGTAGGCAAGGAAGCAGAAAAAAGGCAAAAAGAAAAGGAAGAGGAATCATCCTGTTATAAGACTAAATGACGACTCCTAATAAACTTCCTAGTGTCAAATAAGATTTTATGATAATCAAGGCCTTTTAGATCTCGATCTTTGAGAGCACAGGATATTCTACTGGACTTTACACATTCCACAAGATCCATATATAGATTAAATACTCTTTGTTAAGAGTTAAAATGTTAATATTTCTTTGATTTAATTACATGTACATGTACAACATACTTTATCATAATTTGAGTAGTGTCTTGTTATTGAGTGCAAGCATTATGTTGAAACCTGAGAAATGTTAGGACTAGTACCAAGATGATCAGACTTATTGATTTGTATTGGTCAGCCGTCAATAAGATAACGCTGAGCCCTTTATCACAGAAAAAATATATATAATACCCCAAGGTTTATGTATTGAAATAGCCACTCCTATGTATTGACTATACAAAGGGTGTTGTTATTAGACCTTGATTATGTAATACTACACACTAGTACACAGTTACATTACATTATATAGGTTGTTGCAATTAGATCAAGGACATTATGTCATATTAAGCCTGAAGTACTTAGCATTCTGACATTTTTCAAGTATGATCCCCAGCTGACGAAACATTGCAGTAAATTTGAATGTTCTGCTGGTAGTACTATATCAGAGGAGGGCTGAATATGCCTATTATTACCTACAGTGTATACTTCACATACTACCTCAATTAAAGAAAGGACAGCTTTGAAATATACATGCTGCCCATTGCAGGTGCATGTATTTGCAGGGAGTTGTTATTGAAAAAGTACAAGGAAGAAAATACAGGAGGAGATATTTATAGCTATTTTATGTTAATAAGGTCCAGGTCAGTTTCTTCTCAGCTCAGTGCCCCTACTTCCATTGTTCAATTGTTCGGAGTTCTGCTATTAGAATAGAGTCCAGACTGCTTGATTTATTCTTCCCAGTCCCTTATTTATTTTTTTCTTTAAATTTATCTTTGTTTTTTTAACAAGTACAGTAATTTTACTTGTATCTTATAAATAGTCAAAATGGGAATAAAGGACAACATACATGTCATGTACATGTACTGTAGTAAGAGTAAGGTGGAAGGGGGGAAATCTGGAAGGCCTGGAAACTAGCCTACTAAAATCCAAGCCCATTTGACATCTGGAGCCTGCCTTTGTCAACACCTCCCCACACGCCCACAAAATCTACCAATCAGAGGGCTTGCCTTGTGTTACTGGGTCACCCCACAAGGACCCTGGGGTCTCTCAATCTGTGGGTAAACACTCCACTGGTTTGCACGTGATATCAAGATAAATTGGACAATGGCCATTTGCAAATAGTTTACATCATTTGGTGTGTTTAAACTTGATGTTATATTGGATAAGAATTGGCATTCAGATATTGAGGTCGTCTTCATATTATAGGCCCATGTGTATTATTATGTAACCCATATGTTCACATTGCACTTTTAATCTGCATATTGAATGATGGGTTTGATGTTTGCAAAAAAAGAATTGCTACTAAATTGTATTCATCTTCTTGAAAGTGTACATGTACATGTACATGTATGTAGCTCGATCCCCAGTCTGCTTTGTTGAACAGTTGAAGGAGTGGTTTCTTCTTTCACTTTCGCTTCACAAGTTGAAAACATATGACCTACATTCATGTACATATGAAACTGAAGCACTGTACTTGGAGATCCCCAAAGTTGCTTAATGGAATTTTCCACTTATGGTAGATACATATACATGTATTTTTCATTGTTCAAGACTTCTATTCTTATCTGAAGGAGCTTGGGAAAAACTAATTGTGTTATCAAGCAGTTTGATATTCCTTCGATTGTTTTCTCTTCATTTAATGTCCTAATGTTTGTTTATTGTTTTTTCATAATAACTGCAATATTGAACTTAATTTACATCATGAATTCCATTCTAATTCAACTTTTTTTTTTTTTTTTCATTCCCCCTACCTTTCATATTACAGATCACTACCATTTTCTGGCCAGTTAAGACTTCTAGATGTAGGCAGCTGTTTCAATCCGTTCCTAGACTATGACGAGTTCCTAGCAGTTGGTATAGACATCTCACCCGCAGTTGAAGTAAGTAGAATAAGTTGTAGGGATTTGTTTGTGTGATACTTACACATTTCATTTCCTTTTATGAGCTGGTCAAATGCATTTTTTCTAGAACTGTTTTGAAAACTGTTGGGCTCGAGCAGTAAAACTACAAACTTGCAATAATATATTCTTTCATGTTTGTATTGAAAAGAAAAAGAATAAGAAAAATATTGTGGCAAGCAGACTTGAAGCACTTTAATGTCCATTGAAGCAACACAATGGTATCAAATAGATAAATCAGAAGAGAGCAGGTTGTGTTTGATAAACGTAGCATAAGTCATGAACCACAAAGTACTTCTTTTTGTTCTCTACTGTGTAAAAAAAATAAAGCCGAACAGGGAAAAAGTCAGGAAAGAGAGGGACTAAAATCAAATAAGAGCTTGACTGCATGTCACAAACAGCCGGAAATGAGCTCCATTCCTTTTGTCTATTCACTTCCTGAGGTTTTACTGGCCCAAGAAGTAGAAGTAGCGGCCTCTGAAAGGCTATTTTCAGGTTTGTGTCTATTTTATGCCTTCTCAGCTGATGTGATTGATAAAAGCAAATGTTGAAAGACTATTTCTAAATTAGAACAGAGGGAAATAAGCTAAATTTAAATCAGTTTGTTTGTTTTTAGAAGGGGGGAAAAGGTTTTCATAGGAAGAGGATATTTTGACTTGAAAAGAAAAAAAATATGTTGACATGCATTTGTAACTGAATAAAAAACTTACACTATTTTTTCCATTTCCCTCCACAGAGTGTTCATAAATGTGACTTCTTGAATCTTCAAATACAACAACCTCTCCAAGTTGCTCCAGACACAGTCAATAGATACCTAAGAACGTTAAAAAGTCCTGTGGAGACACTTCCCAGGGAGTGCTTTCATGTCATCGTCTTCTCTCTGCTCCTGTCGTACTTCCCTTCGCCGTACCAAAGATGGATATGTTGCCAGAAGGCCCACCAACTGTTACAGATGAATGGCCTTCTGCTTATCATCACGCCAGACTCGTCCCACCAGAACCGTAATGCAGGCATGGTCAAGAGCTGGAGGACTGCCATCGAGTCACTGGGATTCACCAGGTGGCGCTACCGCAAGGACACCCACCTGCACTACATGGCCTTCCGTAAAACATCTCAAGAACCACCAGGTGACCTGTCCGGCAACGAAGCCGGACCAGACATGCTCTACATCCCTCAGGACTTTAATGAGGATGTGGAGGAAAGCGTGTTCTCCGACTGTCTTCCGAGGACAGAGGCCGAAATAGCAGACTTAAGCGATGCCTTCAGTGAACTGCCATCACATTTCGTGGATGATTTTTCTGAAATTTGGTAGATATCCTGTAATCTGTTCATACAGGCTACATCGTACATAGCTTCCAAATGTAGAACAGACAGAACCTTGGACTTTGAAGTTCTTTCAGGAGAGTGTTTGAATATGTATATATATTTGTTTCAGATAGCACAAGTGCCTTGTTACATTCACACCAGCTATCAAATCTTGTCACTAAAATAGATCTTAATTTCATAAGAAAATGACAAGATCTAAAAGAGGATAAGAGAGGAAGAGAAAAAAACACAGTACACATGCAAAGTTTTAAATGGAGTAAAAGAACACATTTCCCCAGTAGTTATTGTTCTAAAATCTCCAATGAAAGACAATCTAATTTTTGAAAAGTACTACAATGTGAAAATAACATCAAATTTAATCCTAAATTAGAATTTTTAATTTTTAATGGATAGCCGTAGAATTTCCTTTAGAACTCCAATACACCCTTAGATATTGTTTTATAATGTACTTTAGCATATGTGCTAGGCAATGTTGCATTGTTAAGTACTTTACTTGTTGAATGTTTTTGTGAAATGTCAATTCCTGAGCATTTGATCACTTCTCAAATCATGTGGATTTTGTTAGATGTGTGATGCTCTGTAGCATGTAGAAAGGGTAATGACATGCAGTCTTGCTAGGAGGCAGCTGTGTAGACCATCTCAAGTGATCCCAGCAACCACCTGCTAGAATACTCTTACACCTACCCCTCCCCCCACTTTATCCATTCCTGTTTCATTGCTATTTCTCTCATATTTCTAAAATAAAATTATCTTAATATTTTCTACTAAGGTTTAATATAAATTTGTTTCTTTTGATCTTGTCAAATGCTGCCTTGAATCAAAGCTCATTAGTTTTCATGGTACATGAAGAAATTAGTTTGACTAATTTCCTTGAGAGATAATTCTTGTCTTTGTAACTTAACAGAGAGTACTACTATATTCTATCCATAACAATCGTTGTGGAAAATCAACAAATATTACATTACAGGCTAGAACAGGTTTGGAAGTCTATTCACTTTCTGTTGGCATTCTTCAGCAAATTTATCAGTATTAGCACTATTGAACAGCAAATGTTAAATGATATCATACAACATTAGTTCATTGTATCTACCTACCTGTAGGCCACTCTATTCTGTGCTTACTCTCTTAACTCAGCTATACTTCACACACCTCTGATTATTATTAAGCTTTTGCTTAAATCATGAACAATTCAGCTTCAGTATTAACTCATTATTTAAAACACTTCTGTTAATACGGACTTTGTCGTATTCGACTCTTTGGTATTGGACTCTGCAAAACATTTTTTTTAATAGATTTTAAACTTGGTAATTATATCAATACGGTGCAATTTTTCGCTTTCATGACGGTTACCTAAAATATAATCTCTTTATACTTCAAGTTTCTTTAGATTCTGAGGAAGGCAGTATGTACTGTACCTGTACAAGTACAGTGTATGAGTGAGAGTGCACTCTGCATTTCCTCAATAGCTGTAACAGAGTATGCCTATCAGTTTTATTCAATTCCATCCACAGTAATTAACGTCATCTATGATAAATAATGATTCACGTCTCTTCTAAAATGGTGCATATCAAGTTGAGAATTTACCATCTGTATTGACATATTACACCAAAGATGTTTTCTTGAGTCCACAGACCAAGTCAAAGTCATACTATAGAATCCTGTTATATTACATATATGTGTATTTAATTTATACTGACACTGACCAATCCTTTTGATTTGTAAGAGAATTTTCTATCATTCCACATGTACTCTAGATTAATGTTACCTATGCTTTTAATTCAGTATCATAGTCCATCCAAACATAAATTTGTTTATGTGATATGTACACGTATCTACAGATATTTTATATTGTTTTCTTTAATACAACTCAAGTAAAATCAACAACAGAGCCTACCGGTAATACATTTTCTTTGTAGTTTTTAAATTTACAAATGGAAAGAAAATTAATTTTGTTATGCAAATCAGAATATCTGATTCCTAAACTGGATTTTAGTTTTCTACATGTACTTTTTCACCAGTTTTTGTATACTGAATCTTTTTTTTACAAGCCTCAAGGCCATGATTTTGGTTTTGAAAAGAAAGTGTAGATTGGAGACTATCAAAATCAAGTGCAGTGGATTTTTTTCTTCTTTGAAATAGCATAATTGTTAAATTTTATGTGTGAAATCAGGACTCCTCAAATGTTAAAAGGAGATTAAATAACCATGCCTATGTGCAGAATACAAAAAAGTATTCTCATCTTTAACCATCTCTTTTGCCAAAATATATAGAACTGGATAACGGTTACCGTAAGCGATATGTAAGAATCATCGTTTGACAACCAGTTCTCAGTGACAGGGTTTGCTAGCTGGCTTAAACCACATATTTAAAATGTCTGGAAGAAATATATACGTTTATATAAGACGCTAAAAGAATATATCTATGTTTGTACATGTTTTATGTATTTGAAATACTCCCATGTTTGTTGCAATTAAATATTTTATTAATAAGAGATTGATTAAATTTTGCAAAAGCACATGAATATGATTTGTGTTGAAAAGTGTTGTTTTCACAATATGAATGGTTTTGACTGTTAGCACAAGAGTGATAGGGATGACAAAGTGAACAAAGAAGTGTGAGAGAATATAAATGGAACAAGATCGCATCTAATTTAAAAAAATAAAAAATAAGGCAATTTCACTACATTTGTGGGTCGTTTACTGAAATGTGTGAACATGACAATAGCGTATAACAACGTAATCCGAACATGATTTATATTTGATATATAATGGGGTTGATTTTTCGAAAATAGTAACGATCATGTTTAAAGGTAAAGACCAGTTATGGTCATGCGATTGCATTGTGAAAGAAACTTTGTGGAATCGATCAGAAAAGGTTGATCATCTAGCATCTAGCATCTGCAAGGTTCTGGAATCATCAAAATGATAAGAAATTTGGCCCATTCTTCGTAAAGTTACAAGCACTATACACAGAAAGATGTATATGGGACTACCCTATATCTCTCACAGACCATGAGAGAAACAAATTTACCAAATATATGAATTAGTAGGCGGTTTCCCGGCAAATTTTTTATCATCATGTATTAGTCAAAACATATTCTTTCACATGATTGGTAATGAGAACTTCCATTTCATTTTTTGAAATTGGGGCGTTTCCAATACTGGTCTTTACCTTTAATATACTTGTCACAAGGGGCACTTTTTTTTGGGGGGGGGGGAAGGTTCATTGTATACTTATGATACATCATTTGGCTTTCAAATAGGAGGGAGAGGGGGAAAGGGTGAGTTGTGCCCCATTAAATCCACCAGTGGTTATTACCACCACTAACCCTTTTGGAGTTATGAATTTGGTCATCCACCGTTAATAATGAAGCAAGACTATTTCGCAATCCATTCACGTGTTGCAAGCTAGGCCTGATTGATTGTATGCTAAGTAGACTCTCCCTCCATCGATGAGTCATGAGGACACGGAACAATCAATAGGTACAGTGGATATTGCAAGGATCGGTTGGGGGGGGGGGGGGGTGGAGTAAATTTTGTTATTATCGTAGGCTATGATAGAAATATAAACCCTGATATATCTAGAGGGGGAAGGGGGGGGGGACATTAATTGTCATAACCATGCAGAAAGATACGTGCGAGAGCGAGAGAGAGAGAGAGAGAGAGAGAGACAGACAGAAAGAAAAGCAGACAGACAGGGGGGGGGGGGGGCTTCTCGCTTTAATAGAAGACAGAGCATGATAGGTGTGTTGAGGTTGTAAGATATTTATCATAAAACACGAATAGGTGAAGGGATTCGATGAAATTTTAGGAAAAGTAGCGGTAACTTTCCGTGAATTTCCGAAGCGTGGGAGGATGGAAAGAAGCCGGAATTTCCGCATTCATAGCCAGAATTAGTCAAGGGCATTACAAAACTGCTAATAATATGACAGGGTGATTTTTAACGGAAAAAAATAGCGAAATTGTGTAAAATAAAAAACAATTTCACTACCACTAAATGGTAAGCAAAAAAAAAGAAGAAAGAAAACAGAAAGAACAATTGGGGTAAATTAAAACTAGGGGAAACGGTTTATTCTCATTTTTACTCTTTCTTTCTTTTCTTTTTTCTTTTTTAAAATACAAAACAGTAGATCGCTTCAAAGTTCTTTCCGCTGCGTACTCCTTTTCTGAGCCTCAGAGCCGAAGATAATCAGTATTCTTGCATGGTTGCATGGTTGCATGGTATCTTTCTGCATGGTTATGACAATTGTAGTTGCATCAAGCATCACTTTCTATTTATCCCAGGGGGATCATTGCTTTACATCACACCCGACATAGCAACAATTATCAGCTAGCTCCTGAATATGTTCATAGATATTAGACTTAACATTCGCAAAGTATGTAGGACAGCGTCATGTCTGGGATTTAGCGTCGGGAGGGGGGGGGGGGGGACAAGCAAGGAAATGGGAGGGGGTGTTCCCCTTCCACGGTGAGAGCTTTTGCCATATTGCAGTTTGTAACCGTGCAATTTGGTACAAATTTGTGTTTAATTGAATTGAAAAGGACTTTATGACTTAAAAAAAGAAGTTCTGCTCTATCATATATTAATCGCTTATTATTGTGGAGGGGGATGGGGTCTGCAAATTTCTCAAGATATTCTGCTAGCCGTTAAAAGCAAGATTACAAACATATTATGCCATTGCTTGAAACATAGGTTAAATATGTAAAATTGTATTTGTCTAGCGAACGATGTGTCAAGTGAGCAGGGCCGTAGCCAGAGCTTGATGGTTTTTTTTTTTTTTTGGGGGGGGGGGGGCACATATGTAATGATCGACGTCCTGGGGAGGGGTCTAAAAAAGTTCAACCGACCTTGTATTTTTTTTAGGCACATGCCCCCCCCCCCCCCGTGGCTACGTGCCTGCAAGTGAGAGCACTTCTGATGTCCGTTTTTCGAAAAGTTTTTTTTCTCTACATTTATTTGTTTCTGCCATGGGGGGGGGGGGGTAGATTGACCCCCTTGCCTCCATCCCCTCCGTATACGCTAGTGTGTTTACCACTGATCGAATCATGCTCATAGCCTGAAATTTTGTCTCTTTTGATCACCGAGCCAAGTTACCAGTATGGACCAGGTAGTATCTGACATTAATATAACGTTTCCGACTATACGATGGTCCAGGTTCGATTATTTGGAAAATTTTCAATTTTGCAAAAATGCATGAGAAGGAAATAAAGAGTTGATATCGAACCTTGGACCTGAGGTACATGACTAAGCTATCAATCATGTTAAAAGTTGCATCATACAATACTGGTAACGTGAGAAGGAACCATCTGGCAGATCGTAACTTTTCACCTCTCCCTATATTTCTCTTGCGTCTCTTTCTCACCTCATCTTTTCCCTATTTGGGGGAGGGGCACATGGTCCCATGTAGCTGCACAACAAGTCCGCAAATTCTCTGACAAGCCTAAACAAGTCATATAGAAATTTAATGATAAAAAAGGGTAATTATAACATTTTTATGGTGCAAATTAGTGAAATTGCTGATGGAGGTATGGCACACTTTATTTTTGTTCTTCATGTGCATAATCAAAGACATGCGAGATGAGATTTGGTTCTGCTGTGCCTCTCCCCACCCCCATCAATAATCCTCAATGGTGACTTTTCAAGGGTTTTGGGGAAAATCGTCCTCACTCCTCAGCCCATGTGATACTGTACTACATGGTTAAAGTAGAAGTTTGCATCATCCATGACGTCATTTTTTCCTAGATAACACGGTCGAGACCCATGCGACGCCACACGTACCGACAATACCTGATGATTCAGGTATTGTAATCAGTGTTAGATTAAAGCTAGCGTATGAATTGTGCAAATATTGTATCGATTAATGAATAATGAAAAAACTATGCAGCTAAGCGATGTCACCGTTTTTAAATCCTTATGGCGATTTTTAAAAATATATATATATTTTTAATAGGATGGTGATAAAAACTCTGCAATTTATTGGCTTAAAACTGGTCAGTCTCAATGTTTTTATATAGGATCGACAGTTTCACTGGATTTTATCCTTTATTAATTTAGAGCGAGCCAGCTCAAAAATTGGATGTAAATATATTAAATAAAAATATATAACAGATACCACTGTCCATTGAATTCCATGATGACGTGCAATATGATTATAATTTGCAGTGAGTTCCAATACTTGCCTTTTGTCTAGGCTGTCAGCGACATCTCGGGACACTCATCATACATGTCTTGTCCAACGAAAGTTATATGTCAATTTCGGGGGGGGGGGGGGGGGGGTCCACAGTACCTTACCACCATACGCAAATTTGCACCTAGGGCTTCGGAAATAGCCCTGAAAAGATTTTGCCTTGGATATTTGATTTTAGATAATTAAGATCCTCAATTCTAGTTCTCCTTGATAACCGTATGTCCATTACCCCCTAATACCCCCCCCCTCCCTCACTCCTTCCTCCTCCTCATGGGTATCACTAGCCTTTGGTCAAGAACAAATGGTACGGGCCCACAGTTGTGACGTCATCACATTCATGCGCGCGGCTGACCAGTGACGTTGACAATAATACTTTGCGCATCATACTCTTTCTTATTGATGACGACACAATCGGATCCACTTTTGCGCCATGAATTTGCGAGATACGCGCAAAAATCTGATGGCATCTGTTTGTTGACAATAATGCTCCCATTCTGATTCAGAACCTCTTCGATCGAGTACACTAGCTCTTAGCTTTTTGCTCTAAATTGGCTGAATTCTATTCTCTATCATCATTACAATTCTGACTTATCAATCACAGTTGAGATGGTATGTTTGGATCTGATAATCACACAAATTAATTATGCTATATAAAGGATTAATACATAAAGCATAATGAATAAATAAAAGAAAATGTAATAACTATCAAAATATTATTTAACTAAGTACATTTTAGGTTCAGAGCGATTAACAAATAATTGTGCAGCTGTATAATAACAATACTCAATGCAATGAATACTTTTAATTTAATTTGTTTTATGAAACAAAAGACATTAAAATGAAAAGTTATTTAAAAAAAGGTCATTCATGTAATGATTAGTGATGATTATGCTTGTACATGATTCTGATATACATAAAAATAGAATTATATTTTCCACTATGAAACAATTTTCTTTCATAAAATAATTAATTATATCCAAGACAGAGAATATACACTAATCAATTTGGGCATATCTCTGCTCATGTACACAGATGAAGCCATCTATTCTGATCCCAATTGATGATCTCCTCAAGACCGACCCTCGCATCATCATCCCAAAGCTACTGGATTCCATTCCACAGGAACACTGTCCAGAGAGTTCACCAGTTCCCGACCAGGGAAGTCTAACAGCTAATGATGTTGACTACCAAGGTGATGATGACTTTGATCCCTATGAGAATCTAGAGGATACAATCTTTGGTGATGTCTCACCAGCCACGTTCTTCTTCCCATCATCACACGAAAGCCATGGCAACATCGGGCAAGAAGCTTCATCTTCGCCATCTTGCTTTTT